TGAAACATTCGGAACTGCATGAATGCCAGTCCGAACCCAGCGTTAAAAAAAAAATGTGAAGCTCTGTGGAAAAACAATGGAAACATCGCGAGAAACATTGGGAACTACTATATGTTATAAACTTCGTACTGGAACTTACTTGGAATAGAAAAGGATGGAAAAGGTATACTTTCTCAGGGAGGCCCATTTTGATGTCGGCAAGAGTGGAAAGCACTGGCTGGAAGACTTGAGACAAAAGTGGCACCAAGTCAACCAGCCATCCGTCACATCTTTTCAAATCACATGAAGACCCTTCACCCAGCCAAACTAGGTCGCGCCGTGCCGGGTGGCCTGTGGGCGGCAGCGTCAGTGTCATTTTCCATATTCAAGCACGCCACTTGCAAAGCGTTCCCATCCCAACATGTTATCAACGTACTATGAAGATACGTCAACATGTTATCAACGTACTATGAAGATACTTCAACATGTTATCAACGTATATACTATGAAGATACTTCAACATGTTATCAACGTACTGTGAAGATACTTCAACATGTTATCAACGTATATACTATGAAGATACTTCAACATGTTATCAACGTATTATGACGATACGTCAACATGTTATCAACGTACTATGAAGATACTTCAACATGTTATCAACGTATATACTATGAAGATACTTCAACATGTTATCAACGTACTATGAAGATACTTCAACATGTTATCAACGTATATACTATGAAGATACTTCAACATGTTCTCAACGTACTATGAAGATACTTCAACATGCTCTCAACGTACTATCAAGATACTTCAACATGTTAGCAACGTACTATGAAGATATTTCAACATGTTATCAACATGTGCTGACGCCATAGTATCAAGGACGCGGTCGTCAGGACGTTAATATCCCACCCCACCCCACCCCACCCCACCGTGCTGTCAAAGTAGCATCACGTTGCATCATCAACATCTTCCTAGTTGGTGGAAAATGTGTTGACAACGTAGTATCAAGGACGTGGTCGTCAGGACACTAGTATCCCACCCCACCCCATAGGCCCATATACATATATATATATATATATATATATACTTGAGGCCAGGGGAGAGGTACGAAAGATAGCAGGGCTGGGGTAGGGTGGTAATCATAAAGAAGATTAGCAAGGTGAAGTCGGAATGCGGCAACGGTCTGACGTGGTTTTTTGGAGTTGCTGCAAGTCACAAACGGCGCCAATCTTTTAATAATGATGAGGTTGCTGACCAGAACGATGAAGGAAACTAATGATCACCAAAGTGATGGTAACAGGAATGAGTTGATGACGTCGATCATGAGGACGAGGAGGATGATGAGGATGACGAAGATGATGGGGATGATGAAGATGATGAGGATGCTGAGGATGAGAATGAAGATGAAAATGAGGTTGGTGAGTATGATGAGCAGGGCTGTTGTAGGGTTGCCAAATCTATTGAGTCCAGCAAGCGAAAACCCCCCAATGCAGTCATCGTCTCTTGCCAAGTGTTGTATGCAAAAGAAACGCAATATCAAAAAGAAACGCCCCCCAAATGGAAGCCCGAATCTGCATAAAGATGTTCCAGACAATGCAACATATGTATGATGATGATAAGGATGATGATGTTGTTGACGATGATGATGATGATGATGATGATGATGTTCATGATGATGAGGAGGAGGAGGAGGAAGATGTTGCGAATGATGGGGATTATGATCATGATGATGAGGAGGAGGATGATGAGGAGGATGGGGATGACTGAGGATGAGGATGAGGATGGAGATGGGGATGGAGATGGAGGATGAGGATGAGGATTTTATTGATGATGAGGATGAGGATGAGGATTTTATTGATGATGATGATGATGATGATGCTGATGATGATGATGATGATGATGAGGATGATGAGGATGAGGATGAGGAGGGTGAGGATGAGGATGATGAGGATGAGGGTGAGGGTGAAAATGAAAAATGAGGATGATGACCCTCTACCAGCCGGAAATCTCCTCTCGGGGGACCAAGGGGGAATCAAACCTGGGCCTGCCCGGGGGGGGGGAGGGGGATAAATATCAAAAACACAAAAATGAGCTAAAACGCACAGGCCACCCGGCACGGCGTCAGCAACTACTCATGTTAGAATCATTGCGAATCCACACATCACTCCAAGAGCCTCAACAAGCTGCAGCGCTATCACAGTTCCCTCCTCAACGTCACCAGACATGCAGCTGTAACATGCTGTAACGCGTTGTCATGCTTTGTCTGTCAGCAAACCAATGCAGTGGCACAATGCATGCGGGAAGCATGTTTGAATGCTGGACTGCAAGTCCCACCTGCATCCCTGGCATTTTGATGCGAAGTTGCAGGGGCATAGGCTCTCCTTGGCTTGGATGCAAACTATGAATTTTTCCACCCAATTCAACATTTCTTTACGCACAGCCATTGGAATTCAAGAAGTCGTGCTTTCGGATTTCTCCGCTCAGCCGAGAGGCTCCACTCGAATGAGCGACGCAACAGAGCCAGTGGAAGCCACAAACTATCCTGGACATATTTGGACAAAAGTGCCAAGGCATGAGGCGAAATCAGCGCAAATAAACATGTCAAAGCCAAGTAAACAAAATACAAGTACGTTCCTCGAGTGTTTTCGCCAACTGACATTGTATCTAGCATACAATCCGACATGTACTGTGACATTCTCTCGGGCATTCTATCTGACATTTTATTTGGCCTTCTATCTGGCATATGCATGTGGCATTCTACCTGGCATTTTGGACCTGGCATTCTCTCTGACATTCATCTGACATTCTTTCTGGTCCTTCAGCTGGCATTGTAGCTGACCTACAACACGTTGTTTATGCCATTCTATCTGGCATTTCATCTGGAATCATGTCTGGCAGTCTATCTGACATATATTCTGTCGTTTTTTCTGGCGCTCTTTCTGGCATGCATTCTGACATTCCATCTGGCATTCTTTCTGACACATTTTTCTGACATTCTATCTGGCATTCTACCGGATTTCTCTTCTGCGGTGTTACCTGACATTGCCCACTGAGATCTGGCTCTCGCAGTTGAGGCTGAGCGCTGGCGCTCGCTGTTGAGGTTCGGCAGGGTCGCTGACATTCACGGTTGAGGTCCGGCAGTGCCCACTGGTCAGAGATCTGGAGCTCCAGTGCCAACTCAGACCTGGAGCTCGCGGTTGAGGTCCGGCAGTGCCCACTGAGCTCTGGAGCTCGCGGTTGAAGTCCGGCACAGGTCGCAGTTGAAGCAGAGGCGGAGGCGGAGGTGGGCCAGCTCTGATAAAATCTGGAGACCCTCACGTGTAGCAGGTGGGAAAAAATGAGCTGGAATCTGGGCGACATAAAATGTGCTTCTGTTCGGAGAATACGTTCAATGATGAAACATGATGGAAAGACACTGTGCCCAACAAACCAAAAATGGACTTGGAAAAATGACGGCCCGGAAAGCTCATGCAAAAAACATACATACACTGACACATGCCTTGCCTCCGAAAGCAATCGCAACAAAAACCATGCCCGCGAAGGATTGCTCTCTGATCCCATGATGTGTCAGTGATACTGAAAAGCACACAACAAAGCGTGAATTCTTCCCAATAACCATCCGAAAGAAAGGCATTGTGACACAATGCATTCTTGACATCTGCAAAAGAATTCTATCTGTTGTCTGAGCATGTAGCATCAGTGCAAAAGCTGGAAATCTTCGTGCAGTAAATAGGCTTTTTGCATGCAGTAGTTTGCGAATATGGTCAACTGGACTTGGAGCAGGCGGAGAACTGCGCGGCACATTCATCACGAAAGGCTGGAGATCAGAACATACATGGCATGATGGTTCATGACCAAAGTCATTGCAATGAACATGTCCACAGTGTCTACGATGTCCACAATGCCCACAACGTGGAGACTTTCCACAATGGTTGCTGCATGCGACCGTGAGAAGACAACAATATCTTGTTCTTCAGGACAAAAAGCGAATACTCAAAGTAGTGAAACCAACTGCGCATGCATGTCACATCCGTTCCACATCAAACATGCATAGATCCTTGTGGCCGTCCAATTTACCCAACCAGTTCAAAGAGTCCTCTGATCCACTCAGTGCAATCAACAGTACATAGCACATGTCATTACATCACTGGTTTGCCGATTCTTAAAACAAACTCACCATCAATATCAACATGCTATCTTTGCATCCAAAAAAGATCCACACATGAGTACAGGTTCTTCCCCCGATGCCAAACAGCTGGGGGCCGGAGTACATTTTGGTCTGGCCCTGTTTGCCTGAGCATTCCTATAAGAACATGTCACATTACACCCCGACGCTGCTTAAAATTTGTGCTGCGTGTCTATTTGCCTCCGTCTTTTGTTTGTGCCTATCTCCAAATCTATATGTCAAGTTTGTGCCTAGCTATCTATGCGCCAATCTCTGTATGTGTCTATGCTTGGCATTGCATCTTTGCTTCTACGTATCTAAGATTCATGCCTGTGCGTCTATTGGTCTGCGCATCTATATTTCTATCTTTCAGCACGTGTATATGCGTATCTGCCTGTGTCTCAGTGTGTGTGTGTGTGCAAGCATTGGCATCTACGTGAGTCTGTGACTTTTGCTTGATGTACTGCAATTCATTCTGTGTCCTATATCCCTATATCCCATGCGCGCGCTTATCTGTGTCTACGCACCCGCGTGAATCAGTGAAATTCAATGCGTGGGTCTTCACAAGGTGTTTGGGTATCAAAGTTCCTCCTACCTGTATGTGCCTATATGCTTATCATCATTTGTCTACATATCGTTGTTTCGAGGTCTGCACCGACGTATCCATGCATGTGTATTTCTCTGCTACTGGTATCTGTGCATCTCCGCATCCATGCCTCTGTGACCCGATGTCCCTAAGAGCATGTTTCTTTGGATCTAGTTTCTGCAAATCACTGCCTGTCTATTTGCCAGAATCTATGAATCTACGGGGTGATGATCATCGATGTTTCTGTGCAAATTCCTGTTTTTGCTTCGACATGCTGGCGCTAATGCAGCAGCAATTCACAATCCTGCAAACGACTGCTTGGTCAAACAGCAGCCGAAAGCTGCTCCTTGCACAGTCATTGACAAAAACACTCTACCACCTACTCCAATGCGTGACAATCATAATACTTTTTGAGAGCAACCTGAGCGCTTCCTTGGTCAGGATTGCCGGGAGCCAGTTGTTCCATTCATTACACTTTAGAGTTCCAATCCACCGAACCACGGAGGGACTTACAAATAAATATGTTATCATTTTTTGCTTTAGATTAGCATGTGTTGAAATAGAATTTCCAGACAGTTTGCTTTTCGATTAGCATTTCAAACTAGCGTTCCCAGAAAGCCTGCTTTTAGATCAGCAAAAATTAGTGTTTCTGGTGTGTTTTGTTGTTTCACCAAAAAACAAAAAAAACCGAGCGAAACACTAATTGTTGCTAATTGCTGGATCAACTTTTGCAAAAATGGGAACAAGTGTTTCTTTCGTGTTTTTGTGTGGTTTCAACCAAAGAGCGCTAAAGAACGCGAAAGAACCACTTTTTTTACTAATTGCTGGATCAATTGTTTGCAAAAAATAATAAATATTAGTGTTTCCTTTGTTTTTGACGTTTCACCCAAAAAACGCTTTGAAAACACGAAAGAAACACTTATTCTTCATTAATTTTTACTAATCGCATCTCATTGCTGGATCAACTGTTTGCAAGATTAGTAGAAATTAGCGTTTTTCTAAAACAAAAAATGCACACACACACACAAAAACACGAAATAAACACTTATTGTGACTATTTTTTAACTAATTGCTGGATCAAATATGTGCAAAAATTAATAAAAGGAAGTAGTTGTTCTTTCGTGTTTTTTGAAGTTCCACCCAAAAAACTTAAAAAACACGAAGCAAACTCTTATCTTTCATTCGTTTTTACTAATTGCATTTAATGGCTTGATCAACTGCTTGCAAAAAATATCAAAAATGAGTAAAAATTAGTGTTTCTCTCGTGTTTTTAAGGTTTCGCCAAAAAAGAACAAAACACGAACACAATTTTTTACTACATTTTGCACTAAATATTTGTCATTTTCCAATGGTTGCTGCCACCGGCACTCTTAACATTACATGTGCCTTTTCTGGAACAGGCCTTCAGGTGATGGCGGGGCTTTTGCGTTTGCTGCCCTTTATGACTGGAGAATTTTCGCACGGGGCAGTCCATGTGGGCGCAGCAGGGCCAGAACGTTTTATCTCTGGTATCTAAGCACAAGGCTCGGATTCGCTTTTGGTATCCAAGCACAAGGCTCTCGGTTTACAATATTTTGAGTGATGCGCATTGGTGCGAGTGTTGGTTCGCTTTGTTGTTTTTGATGCTACGCCTGTTGAATGGCGAACCTAGTCAGGCCTTGTGGAATGTTGCGGTTATACTCCTTTTCATCATCGATATCATTGATTTTTTGTGATTTTTGGTTGTGTTGCGATACTAACTCGTTATTTCCCGTGAATCATTGTAATTATTACATACCTCACCCGATTCAACCAAACAAAAAAGTATCGCTAGATGAAAACAAATGAGAATGCATCGGATATCTAAATAGCACACAGATAAGTGAGATAGGTAGATAGATAGATAGATGGATAGATGGATAAATAGATGGGTAGATAAAGGGTGCAATTTTGTTTGCTGTTTTTTTGCTTTTCAGTCTGGGGCACTTTTCCTTGCTGTTTGCTACATTTTGGGGCAAAAACATGTACTTTGCTGGATGGATTTTGGAACTAACATTTGCCACTTGCACTGTTCATCGATTTTTTCCATGGTTTTACTCGGTTTTTCCATGGTGTTCATTGATTTACCCAAAGTTTTCACCGGTTTTTCCATAGTTTTCATTGAGCTTTCCATGGTTACGATTGATTTTTCCATGGTTTCAATCGATTTTTCCTTGCAGAACATGCACCTGGTGAACATGTGAAATATGTTGAAACACACCCCTGATGGGTCTAAATAGTGGCATTGGGCGCTATCATAGTGTTGGTGGGTTTAGGGTTGGTTTAAATTTTATTTAGTGTTGGTTTAGGATTTTATCCAGAATTATTTAGGGATGGTTTAGGGTTCATTTAGGGTTGGTTTGGGGTTTATTTAAAGTTGGTTTAGGATTTATTTAAAGCTGGTTTAGGGTTTAAATAGGGTTGGGTGCTATCATAGTGTTGGTTGGTTTAGGGTCATTTAGGTTCGGTTTAGGGTTGGTTTAGTGTTTATTTAGGGTTGGCTTAGGGTTGGTTTAAAATATATTTAGTGTGGGTTTAAAATTTATCCAGAATTATTTAGGAATGGTGTAGGCTTTATTTAGGGTTGGTTTAGGGTTTATTTTAAGTTGGTTTAGGGTTGATTTAGGGTTGATTTAGGGTTGGTTTAGGGTTTATTTAGGGTTGGTTTATGGTTTATTTGGTGTTATTTAAGGTTGGCTTAAATTTATTTAGGGTTGGTTTAAAGCTTATTTAGGCTTGGTTTATGGTTGGTTTAGGGTCATTTAGGTTTGGTTTAGGGTTGGTTTGGGGTTTGGGGGGAGGGGGATAGGGTTGGTTTAGTTAGTGTTTATTTAGGGTTGGTTATGTCGGGGTGGTTTAGGGTCTCTCTAGGTTGGTTCAAGGTTTGCTTAAGGTTAATGTAGAGTTGGCTTAGGGTTTATTTAAGGTTATTTGGTTGGTTTTGGGTCTATTTAAAGCCTGTTGAGGGTTAGATTAATGTACATGTAGGGATACAAGGTGTGTGTGTGTGTGTGTAACATCTTAATAGATGTAAAACTTCTCTCTTTTTCTTCCTTCTGTCCTCTCCCTTTCTAATAACAATAACAATGCAGGGGGACAGAGCTCTCTGATGCTGCTCTGTCCAACGAAGCTATGCATCAGAGAGGGAAGCATTCACTGGCCATGGATGTGTACCTGCAAACATGTCTAATGGTCTAGGCTGGTTTGCACGTTACAGGACTCAGTTCCTGACGGAATAATGATCCAGTTCTTGTCTAGTGTGATTTCCATGGTGGCTCCGACATGGTGCCATGGAGCCATTTGAGGCAACCCTTTTCAGGGTGAATGATGACTGTCCTGACTTCCGAATTCACACATTTTAATTTGGTAATTCGATTAAGTAAAGCGAAACAGCTGGCCTTACTGTTTTCCAGCCTTTTTTGGTTGTCTCGCTGGTCCGTTGGTCCCGGGTTCCTCGCCGAAATGCCTGTCTATCAGAGTGAAGCCGTTCGGAACAATCAGAAATTTCGTTTTTTCGCTGCAGCTTTAGTGAGTGAAGTGACATGTGCATTACTACACGACACAGAGATCAGGCAGGTACATGGCCTTAGGTGTGGTCCTTTTCTGCTTTTTGTGGTTGTCTGGTGAGGTCAAACATGTTGTGCACCTAATTCGTTGGAATTTGAGCAGCTGTTTATGCCCTTGTGGCTGACCTGACTACCGTCCCGGCCAGGGAACAACGCACGACCTCTAGGTATTTAGGGACTGAGTTCTGATTTTTAAACTAATTGTTTTGGTTTTTCTTGTTTGCCATCAACTAGTCCCCCATTTGGTCCCTAATTCCCCGCGTGCCTCTCCGTAATGTGTCGTGGGGTTTAGGTGTGTGCACTGTTTTGGTCAGGTCCGTTTCGCCGTGTAGGTTGGTTTTGGAGGTCCGTCTGTTCCCCTCCCCCCCCTGCGCTGTTTTGGCCTTTTGCCCGTCGTCTGTTTTCGCTTTTTTCTTCCTCTTGCCTTTCAGGGTTGACCCGGCTCCGGCCGGGTGTGTGTGTGTGTGTAACATCTGAATAGATGTAAAACTTCTCTCTTTTTCTTCCTTCTGTCCTCTCCCTTTCTAATAACAATAACAATGCAGGGGGACAGAGCTCTCTGATGCTACTCTGTCCAACGAAGCTATGCATCAGAGAGGGAAGCATCCACTGGCCATGGATGTGTACCTGCAAACATGTCTAATGGTCTAGGCTGGTTTGCACGTTACAGGACTCAGTTCCTGACGGAATAATGATCCATTCTTGTCTAGTGTGTGTGTGTGTGTGCGTGTTTGTAAAGAGATAGATATATAGATAGGTAGACAGACAGACAGGCAGATAGGTAGATAGATAGAAAACGAAAACCCAGGACTAAGGGGGGGGGATTTTCCCTATAGAATAGAAACCCTACCAAGCCAACAGCCCCCTGCCGCTCTTATAAAATGAAAACCCAGCCTCATACTGGCCACTGCTACTAACAAATAATCCACTATAAAATGAAAAACTGAGTTCAAGTGATTAGGAAAAAGACCCCCTATAGAATAGAAAACTGGGTTTGCAATGCCTTAAGTTTGGTTTCACTTTTTGGATCTGGGTTGGAACCATTCCACAAAAGAACATACTTGGGGACTATTCTATAGAAGGGTGGTTGGGTTTCCATTTCACAGGATGATGAAAACCTGACAGAATCTTGCAGATGCCCTTTTGGGATTCACTGGGATAACAATTGGAAAGCCTTGACACAGATCTGATACATTTTGGTGCATCTAGGAAATTCTAAGCACTGGCCTAAGCATCCCTGGGATACCCTGGGCACATGTCAGAGTGCTGCCTATTCTTTACCAGTTCCTGCGAAGTCAGTCAGGAATTCATTCTATAGGGATGGCATTTGGTGGTTTTCATGCCTCTCCACATGGAAACCCATTCTATAGGATCAACATGTCCCCCACCTTTTGCTGCGTTTGTCAAGAAATCTCATAGAATTGGATGAAATTGGCATGACCTTTCATGAACTCGTTGCTGGCTTGGACGCCGGCTCCGGCTTCACAGACGCTGACGACCCAGGAGCTGCAGCCGGTGCACGGAGAGCCTCAGATCAGCACGCTGTGAACAGATTTCATTCATCTTCACCCTATTTCTGGAAAAACACATGCATATTCATGCCTTTATGTCGTGTTTAATGCCTATAAAATGAAAACCTGACAGAATCCTGCAGATGCCTTTGGGATCCTTTGGGGTCCCCCTAGGATAACACTTGAAAAGAATTGACGCAGATCTGGTAGATCCAGGCAATTCTAGGTACTGGCCTAAGCATCCCTTGGATACCCTGGGCACATGTCAGAGTGCTGCCTATTTGTTTATACAGTTCCTGTGCAGTCAGTCAGGAATTCATTCTATAGGGATGGCATTTGCTAGGTTTCACGCCTCTCCACATGGAAACCCATTCTATAGGATCAACATGTCCCCCACCTTTTGCTGCGTTTGTCAAGAAATCTCATAGAATTGGATGAAATTGGCATGACCTTTCATGAACTCGTTGCTGGCTTGGACGCCGGCTCCGGCTTCACAGACGCTGACGACCCAGGAGCTGCAGCCGGTGCACGGAGAGCCTCAGATCAGCACGCTGTGAACAGATTTCATTCATCTTCACCCTATTTCTGGAAAAACACATGCATATTCATGCCTTTATGTCGTGTTTAATGCCTATAAAATGAAAACCTGACAGAATCCTGCAGATGCCTTTGGGATCCTTTGGGGTCCCCCTAGGATAACGCTTGACAAGAATTGACGCAGATCTGGTAGATCTAGGCAATTCTAGGTACTGGCCTAAGCATCCCTGGGATACCCTGGGCACATGTCAGAGTGCTGCCTATTTTTTTACCAGTTCCTGCGCAGTCACTCAGGAATTCATTCTATAGGGATGGCATTTGGTGGTTTTCATGCCTCTCCACATGGAAACCCATTCTATAGGATCAACATTTCCCCCAGCTTTTGCTGAATGTCTCATGAAATCCCATTGAATTGGGTGGAATTGGCACGGCCCATCATGAACTCACTACCCTTCAGCCACTCGGCATCGTGGCTGAATCATGGATAAAGATCAAGTATCTTTAAGATTATTCAAGCACCATGATTCAGCAACGTTTGGTCTCTTCTGCTAGATGCCGTGTGGCTGAAGGGTAACGAGTTCATGATAGGCCGTGCCAATTCCGCCCAATTCAATGGGATTTCATGAGACATTCAGCAAAGCTGGGGGAAATGTTGATCCTATAGAATGGGTTTCCATGTGGAGAGGCATGAAAACCACCAAATGCCATCCCTATAGAATGAATTCCTGACTGACTTCGCAGGAACTGGTAAAGAATAGGCAGCACTCTGACATGTGCCCAGGGTATCCCAGGGATGCTTAGGCCAGTACCTAGAATTGCCTAGATCTACCAGATCTGCGTCAATTCTTTTCAAGTGTTATCCTAGGGGGACCCCAAAGGATCCCAAAGGCATCTGCAGGATTCTGTCAGGTTTTCATGTGTTTTTCCAGAAATAGGGTGAAGATGAATGAAATCTGTTCACAGCGTGCTGATCTGAGGCTCGCCCTGCACCGGCTGCAGCTCCTGGGTCGTCAGCATCTGTGAAGCCGGAGCCGGCGTCCAAGCCAGCAACGAGTTCATGAAAGGTCATGCCAATTTCACCCAATTCTTTCAAAATTCTTGAGAAACGCAGCAAAAGGTGGGGGGACATGTTGATCCTATAGAATGGGTTTCCATGTGGAGAGGCGTGAAATCTACCAAATGCCATCCCTATAGAATGAATTCCTGACTGACTGCACAGGAACTGGTAAAAAAATAGGCAGCACTCTGACATTTGCCCAGGGTATCCCAGGGATGCTTAGGCCAGTACCTAGAATTGCCTAGATGTACCAAAATGTATCAGATCTGTGTCAAGGCTTTCCAATTGTTATCCCAGTGAATCCCAAAAGGGCATCTGCAAGATTTTGCCACTCCTATAAAATGAAAGCCCAGCCTCATACTGGCCACTGCTTCTAACAAATAATCCACTATAAAATGAAAACTTAGTCCAAGTGATTAGGAAAAAGACCCCCTATAGAATAGAAAACTGGGTTTGCAATGTCTCAAGTTTGGTATCATTTTTGGATACGTTTTTTTCCCAAAACTGGATGAGCGCAATCCAGGTACCATTCTATAGTAGAAACTGGCCTACCAACTTCATCTCTATAGAATCGTATGCCCAGGTTCTGCATTCTATAGAGATAATTCCAAGGAGGATTATATATATATGTATGTATGTATACCGGTAGATCGATAGATTGACAGATAGATAGAAAGATCGATAGATAGGTCGATAGATAGATCGTTCGACAAATAGATAAGAAAAGATAATAAAGATGAATGTATACGTAAATCTGCAAACATAAACACAGCGTGAGGGAATTTACATCATTATGTATGTAAATGGATACCCAGACCAGTCAATGAACAGAGGGATAGATAAAGACGGTTACAGAATAAGAGAAAGAAAAAACAAATGAATGGATAGATAATCAGATAGGCAAATATTTGCAAATAGAACATGAATGGAAGAACTAGATGAGGGCATAGACAAGGAGCTAAGGAGATAGGAAGATAAACTCATAAACAGACAGAAGATATCAATATAACATCGGCATCGCTGCACAGCGATGAACATATCATGCTTCTAGATGTCAAATTAGCGTGAGAGCTTTGCAAAAAGAAAACCACTTCCCAACAAAAAAACAAAAACACATAAACGCAAAAGCCGCTGAATGGCGCGTTCATGAACGTTATCATATGTTATCGTCAAACACATTTTTCTTGCTGAGGACCCACATTCAGAAGTTTTATTCGTTCGTGTTTCTAAGCTTACTTGAAAAGTAAATAGATGATACCTACGTGCATGTACGCGTGTATCATGTATGCATGCATGCACGCATGCATGCATGCATGGATGCATGCATGCAAGGAAGGCAGGAAGGCAGGAAGGAAGGAAGGAAGGCAGTATATATATATATTTCAGCAACCCTCTCTCCAATAAGGGTGGCGGGGTCGGCGGCTGGGATTTTGTAGATCACAAACATGGGTCAAATCAGACCGTGCATTCCCCACAAAATCCCAGCCTACAACCCCACTTTTTCAGCGCACTTTTCCTTGTTGTGCCAAGTTTCTGGCTCTACAAAATCTAAACCCTGGGTCGGATCCTCACAGATTAATAATGTCTGACCCCAGTATCCTGGCACGGGTATATGTCTCAAAAAAAAAAGATTTTGTGGAGGCCGTAGCGTTTGTCCAACGGAAAGCATCTGAAAAAACAAATAAATACTTCAAAGCCGTTCAAAGATATTCAATGAAGGAATGTTGACCATGTTCTGCAAACATGCCATGCACATCTTTTTTTGGAACGTGATTTACCCCAATCGGTGTTGTAGATTCTTTGGACTGAACGAAACGGCTCGAAATCTGTGCATGCCGCGACATCAGCCAGGATTCTCTGAGTTTAAAACAAGTGAGGCGGGTTTTCTTGCTTTTCTTTAAGTTCCACCAAGGTTCTTTATCCATGCTTGGGATGTTGTAGAAACCCCCGTTGGCCTTTAACCCTTGTTTCTAATCTTGTAGTGGCCAGTCTGAAGTCCAAATGCAAATAAAACATGTACGCTGCGGTAGCGGCGGCAGCCAAAAAAGCTGCAGGCAAAAAGAAGGGTAGATTTTTTGAAGGCAACTTTTTATTCAGCCAATAGCCACACGTTGAAACATTGTTTCATTGGGTCCGTGCGCGTGCACGGCCTTGGGTACCGCCAAGAAACTTCTTGAGGGGCGCACTCGTGGTGGTCGCAATGAAGGATAAATTACATTCCTTTTCTAGAAAGAAGCTCGCTGAGTAAATTCAGAGAATCCTGGCTGATGCCGCGGCATGCAGAGATTTCGAGCCGTTTCGTTCAGTCCAAAGAATCTACAACACCGATTGGGGCAAATCACGTTCCAGAAAAATGATGCGCAAGAAGTGCATGGCATGTTTGCAGAACATGCTTGGTCAACATTCCTCCGTTTGAAAATTATCATTGCACGTCTTTGAAGTAATACTTGCAGGAATTTGCTGTTTTTTCCCGAACGCGTGGTTGAGGTTGTGTTCACTCGACGTTCCTTTTGCGTCCGCAAGCGTCCGCTCCGCAACCGTCCGGTAACCGTCCGCAACAGTCCGCAACCGTCCGCAACCGTTCGCAACCGTTCCTGTGAGGCCGCTATGGCCGTGCCTATGGGGACTGCTGCAAAAGCAGTTTCAAACGTCGCGAAACCTTGTTTCGTTTGGCAGGCATGGCACTTCGTGACATTCCAAGATGTTTCATCAGGTGTCCAAAGTCGTTCTGTGTGACAGGCCCAGTGCGCCCTTTTTAGAAGCTGAGTATAGCTGAGTGGCACTTTTCGTGGCAAGCGCAAAATTTTGGAGACCTCCATCGTCATTTCGCGCGGCAGGTGCAGCACTTTAGACATGTCGTGCTGCGTCTTTTTGCGAATCACAATGTCAGGGCTGCGTCAAGCTGTGACAATGCGTAAATCGCGGGGCATCGTGAGAGTCATTTGCGTGGCCAAGCAGTATTTGGGACACTCTACACAATACACTCCGCACTCTACACTTTATTTACACTATGTACACTTTATTTACACATTACACTTCACACTTTACACTTGCCACTCCCCACTCTACTCTTTGCAGTTTACACTCCAAACTCCACACTCTACACTTTTCACTCCGCACTCTACACTTTACACTTCACACTTTACACTTGCCAGTCCCCACTCTACACTTTGCAGTTTACACTCCACACTCCACTCTACACTTTACGCTTTACACTCCAGACTCTACACTTTACACTCCGCACTTTACACTTTACACTTCGCATTTCACACTTCACACTTTACACTTTGCAGTTTACACTCCACACTCTACACTTTACACTTTACACTCCGCACTCTACCCTTTACACTTTACACTTCACACTTTACACTTGCCACTCCTCACTCTTCACTTTGCAGTTTACACTCCACACTCCACACTCCACACTCCACACTCCACACTTTACTATCTTCACTCTGTTTACACTCCACACTTGACACTTTGCACTCTACATTTCACACTTCACACTTTACACTTTGCAGTTTACACTCCACACTCCACACTTTACACTTTACACTCCGCACTCTAAACTTTACACTTTACACTTCACACTCTACACTTGCCACTCCCCACTCTACACATTGCAGTTTACAATCCACACTCCACACTCTACACTTTACACTTTACACTCCGCACTCTACGCTTTTCACTTCACACTTTACACTTGCGACTCCCCACTCTACACTTTGCAGTTTAAACTCCGCACTCCACACTCTACACTTTACACTCCTTTCTCTACACGTTACACTTCGCACTTTACACTTGCCACTCCCCACGCTACCCTTTGCAGTTTACACTCCACACTCTACACTTTACACTCCAGACTCTACACTTTACACTCCGCACTCTACCCTTTACACTTTACACTTCACACTTTACACTTCCCACTCCCCACTCTACACTT